ACTGTAAGATATAAGAAAACTCTATCTGATACTCTACAGCTGAGGGAGAGTGCTCTAGGAAGACAATTTGAAAGGGAAACTTCCTTCCAAAGACTTGAGTTCAGACCTCATTAGAGAAGATGTGACTGTGCTCATGCCCAAAGCTTCACTGCTGAGGAGTGACATCAGAGCCTTCACATTCTTCAGGAAATAGACTTCATTAAATAATTTTGCCAAGTCTTTAAATAAGCAAACAACAATGAAAACAATCTCAAGAGAGGATTCTATATCTAGAGTTGCTACAATATATTACCTAAAATGTTTACTTTTCAGCAAAAAATCATGAGTCACGCAAAGAAACAGGAAAGTGTCACCTGTATACAGGAAACAAAGCAGGAACCAGAAACTGCCTGTGAAAGGGCCGAGATGAATTAAATTGTCTATTTCTCCATTCAATTCTGTCAGCTTAAATATGACATTTGTCTGTAGGAATATTAGAAACTAATGTGTATAGGCCTTGGTGTACATTTGAAGGTACATAGACAAGGGAACACAGGGTCTGTCTAAGTTCTATTTGGGTTCTTATCACCATCTTATGCTAAAGAGAAGCTGGATCGGTATCTAGGGGCAAATCTTAAATACCCTGTTCACACTATCATCCACAGGTTTGGGGAGGGGGAAGAGATTTGTTCTGTGCAAGGCAATATCACTAGGTTCTAGCCTTTCTTTCACTCTCTCTGACTTCATTCTCTCAAACTTCTCTGAATATACCTGTTTTTCCTTTTTCTGTGATTTATAGTGAAAAACACACATACATTAGAATAGAATTTTGAGGGAATAAACTACATACAGCTGAGATATCTTCTTCTCTTTTTATATGATATAGTAGCTGCAAGCATGGTTCAAGTACTGAGCAATTTATGCTGGCCAAGATAGTGTAATAGTTAAGACTCAGGAACCAAACTGCCTGGGTTCAGATCCCAAATCTGTCACATCGTAGTTGTGTAATCTTGGGCAAATTATAAGTTTAATCTCTTTGTGCTTCAGTTACCCTCATTTATCAAGTGGGAAGAATGATATTACTTATCTCATAGTATTATTTTAAGGATTAAATTACTTTATATCTGCAAAGTGCTTGGAATAGTGCCTGGCACCATTAGTACTCAAAAATTAGCATTTTGATTACAAATGAAGAAACCCAACTCATAGTGGTTTAAGTTAAAATGGGATTTTTTTGGCTCTTGTGAAGAAAAGTCTAGGGTTGGTAGAGCTTCAAACAATGTTACCAGGAATCTCTATCTTGGTTCCACTTTACTCTGTGTAGGCTTCCTTCTCAGAGAGGTTCCCCTTATATGGTGCAAGATGGCCACCAGCAATACCAGGCTTGCTGAGATCCTACACTGGGTTTAGCAAGCTCAGTAAAATGATAGTATCTTTCCTAATAGTTCCAGTAAGGATCCCAAGAGTGTATGTATCTCATGGCTGGGCTTAGGTCACATATTCATTGTGAATGCAGTCAGTACAGCTGTCCAGATTTGTGTTATACGCCCAACCCTGACAGTGGGATCAGCTCTATTTGAACCACCTGGCCTAAGAGTAGAGGAGGCCACGTTTCCCAAAGGAAAGTTGAGGTGCTATTTCCAGATAAAGAGACATGTGAATTCTAGAAAAGCAAAAAATTTTCTGTCTGGAAAAATAAGGTTTTCTTGAGAGTCTGTATCTTTTCTAATGTTTAGGTCTCACACTTCCTTCCTTCCTGATAGAAACTATGCTAATTTCATGACTATCTTTATCCCCCAATCAAAAGCTATCACCATGACCTGCATTGTCCTAAATAAGTTAGCTTTTTTCCTTCCTGCTCTCTTACCTGTGATGTAGAAGGAGCTTCTTCGATATTCTGATCACAAATTGTTTTTCTGTTTTAGCCTTTTCTAGCAAGTTTTGTTCTCTGGTCCTAGATTTTAGTTCTCCTAACTCAATACCTCTTTTCTATTTTTAGTCATCCATATTTCTACTAGACTTTGTATGTGTTCTCACCACACCTTTATAGCTTTATTGTCTACCTGATAGCAAACTAGCCATTTCACCCTCTTAAAACGTCTCCATCTTGGGGATATAGTATTCATATTTGCATATTAAATTACGTTAATTCTGTAACTCAGTGTTCCTATTTTGGAGATTACTACTAAAAACACAGTCACATTTTTGGAGAGAAATTATTTTGTGATGAGGTCAATATCTAATTTTCCAACAGCCCACGTAGTCTGAAAGATCAGACTCTACCTTTAGGGGACATAGTAAGTTTCTATTGCTAGAATTGTTTTTAAACATTAGATATTTAGATAGGATCCAAGCCAAGGGGTAAGTGGGTTAGACTAGATAAATCTTTTAATCACCAAATTCTGATTTTATATATTAGGTCATTAAATATGAAATGTTCTGATTTCAAATCGAAAGCTTAGTTTATTATATCTCAAACAAGAAGCAGTACAATTAATCAAAGTATGTGCCTAAACTCTTTTTTTTTTTTTTTTTTT